TGGAGATGCACACCCTTCCTTGTGGGAGGCACAGGGGAGCATCCGGTCCTCATTCTGAGGCCTCAGGCAAGTGCCAGCACTTCCCAGGGCCTCTCTTCTCCTTACGAGGAGTGCGACCAGATGGGGTCCACCAGCCGTCCAAGCGTGATGTCCTGCAGTCTGCAGAGCACATTCGCCACGGGGTTGTTGTGGCTCGCAATAATCCCCTTTCTCCCTGGGGCCCATCCCTCCTGGGTCCCCTGGGCAGATGAGAGCCACTCTGCTGTTTCTGGGGGCTCAGGGGAACTTCTCAGGTTGTGTTGGTTTCTGGCAGGACCCACACTGCAGGCAAGAAGCAACACCTCTCTTGCCTCCCCGCCCCTGCGGCACCAGAAGCAAACGGCCCCTAAACTGCAAATGCCCGCTGAGGCTCCCCGCAGACCTGGAAGCCTTGTTCCTAAAAGGACAGGCAAGTGGACTGTTTCATTTCAAAGTGGCTCAAAGCTTGAGCTGGAACCCAGGCAGCTCACCCATGGGGACTGGTAGCTACAGATAAAATTCCCCTGATCATTAAAATTGTATTAGCAATAATTTTAGGGGTCCATACTAAGTAATCTGGACCTATGTTAAATGCTTTACCCACCTCATCTCGTTTAATCCTTGAAACAACCCCATAGGGGCAGGGTGTTATCACTCCACACACACACCAGCAATGGTCGGGCAGCAACAAGCCCACCCTCCCTGGAGAAAAATGTGAGCCCACCTCCCTGGAGAACTCCTTTAAAATAAACACGTTGAGGACACTCAGCCCTCTCGCCACGTGATGCCCTGCGCCACCGCGGGACTGCAGAGCCCCGCCAGCAAGAAGGCCCTCACCAAATGTGGCCCCTAGACCTTGTCCTTCTCAGCCTCCATAACTGTAAGAAATAAATTCCTTTTCTTCATAAGTTAAAAAAATAAACATGTTCTTCTTAGAAACCCTACTAAGAGGTAATTCCAATAACAAAACACTGTGGGGTTTTTAATAAGCCTTTGTAAGAGCAAAACAGCGCACGTGGCTACAACATCCATCTACAGAAGCGCGATGGGCGTGGCAGCACCCCGGGTGTTCGTCCCCCATCCTACGGCATGCTGCCTTCCCAGCCACAGGGTTTAAATGGGATGACCAAGCACAGAGGGCAGGGTGGCCAGGTAACCCTTCCCTCAATGGCTTCGCCACTGCACCACCCTCTCAGAGGGGGGCTCGAGGTGGCCTCTTCCTTCCCTCTGCCATAGATGAAGGGGACACTGGAAGGCAGAGAGAAAAGGAAACCAGAACCTGCTGACATCACTGAGCCACTTGGATCAAAGCAACCCTGAAACTCACTCCACCTCTGGACTTTCCAGTTTCAGGAGCCAAAAACCTCCCCTCATTGTTGAGGCCAGTTTGAATTGGGTTTTCTGTTACCTGCAACGGTAAACCTACTCCCCTGGTCCGAGAGCAAGGTCCATCTGCTCTTGGCACCGTCCTACAGTGGATGGTGTGACCATGAAAATGCACCTCGGGTCAGTGTATTAAGTAAAATTAATCATAAAATACTAAGTGAAATGATTCGTTTGTGAAGATCTGAATATGCATGGATGTTTTCTGGAAAGATACTTTAGTATGAAGTTGCCTCTGGGGAACAGAAGATAAACTTTTCACTTTACACTCTCCTATGTTTAGATTGCTTTTACTTATGTATATTAAAAAAAAAAAACACTAGTTTAAGAGCTGTTTGAGGTGACAAAATCACAGTCCATGGTGGTAATTTATCTTGGCAGTTATTAAACCATGCTTTTGAAGCCCCTGCTAGAATATAAGATGCAGCGCAGGCTGGGCGCGGTGGCTCACACCTGTAATTCTAGCGCTCTGGGAGGCTGAGGCAGGAAGATCACTTGGGGCCAGGAGTTTGAGACCAGCCTGAGCAAGAGTGAGACCCCATCTCTACTAAAAGCAGAAAAAATTAGCTGGGCACGGTGGTGCACGCCTGTAGTCTCAGCTACTCCAGAGGCTGAGGCAGGAAGATCACTTGAGCCCAGGAATTCGAGGTTGCTGTGAGCTAGGCGGACGCCACGGCACTCTAGCCCAGGAAACAGAGCGAGACTCTGTCTCAATCAATCAATCAAAGATGCAGCACCCAGAAAGAAAGCTGAGTGAAGAAATAATTGTTCTGGACCTTTGTAAGGAATACTCACTTCCTCCTTCTCCAACACCGGAATCCCTGAGCTTAGCAACTTCACCAGAACCAGCATACACTTAAATGTACCCTTAACTTTTCCCTCCTCCCAAGGTTACACAGTAGCCCCAGTCCTACAATACTCACTTCATGTTTTCCTGAGGCACCCCGGAGACGCCAAGAGCATTTGAAAATGAACATGCCTTTAATGCAGGCTTTGAGCAGCAAAGGCCAAGTCTTGCCGACTTTATGAGGAGCTAAAAAGGCCCTAAAGGTGTGTAGTTCTCCGGATTCTTGGACAGAGCACCCAGATGAATGAGAACAGGGCTGCAGGCGGTCATCTGCCCTGAAAGGCCGGGCAACACGCTTCTGGGCATGATGACAGACCCGAGCATAGGGAAGCACCTCTACCAAGATCCATCTTGGGGGACAGTTTCCCATAGTCCAGGACAGACAACGTAAAAACCCTGTGACCCTGAGCACAGACACCCCGTATGACCCTAGAGCGGGAAAGGCCCACCCGTGAAGGCCATGCAGCAACCCCCTCCCCTCTCACATGCTACAATTGAAAGCTTTGGACCAGTGGGTGACGGGGCTGATGCACCTGCCACTTGGGCAGAGACCTTCCCGTGACAGGAGGATGCCTCAGGTGCTGGGATCACTGCAACCTCCCTCCTTTCTCTGCCCCTCTGCAGTCTGTGTTCCTCTGAGGCTGCTGGCTGAGAAGCCATCAGGGGGCACTCCCTCCTCTGCTGGGAGCACTCCCACACTGCAGCAGCTTACACTCGCGTGCGTGCCCGTCACCACCCCGGTGGCCTCTGCATGGAATCTCCTTGAAAGGCCGTGTCCGATCCCCCACTGCCCAGCACAGAAAGCCCTTCACAGGCTTGTTGGCTGGCTGGATGGCAGCTCTTGCCCTCCCCAGCAACCTTGCTTCAGTAAAGCAAGCACCTAACACTACACCAGGGACCAGTCTGCGGACTGAACACCTAGCGCGACCTGCAGCTATGGCCTTGCAGAGAAGCGAGCGAGCCTGCTGCCCAGAACCAGGGCCTCTGGGGACTGAGCTCCTTAGGGCAACACTGTGCTTTACCCAGGTCCCTCAAACCAAACCAGGCACCCAAATCCAAGTGCAGAGTGGGGAGAATGCACACTCTCCGCTTTCTCCAAACGTCTGCCGACCTTCACAGAGCCCAGTGAACTGGACCATCTCAGGGAATGGCTCTGCTCTGGCCGGCCCTCTGGGCTGGTTTCGCTCAGCAGGACCCAATTACAGATGCAGGATTCAGGGCTGGTGGGCACCAAGGCTCTTTTTTAGCTGCAGGTAGAGGTTCTGGGACAGGGGAACCCAGCCTTTCCAAATCCTTGACAGTAACTTACCTTTCTCTGAGCCTCAGGTTTCAGGCATAAAAATGGCTTCCTCGGAGTTGTTCTAGTGACTGAATGAGTTTATTAACTATTAGGTACTCTGAGCACTTCCTCTGTTCCAGGAAGTTTCTATACACATTAATTTTTATTGTTCATGTGGGGAATCCGAGTGCCAGGCAGTTTTCCTGCCCTGTGGGAAGTGGAAGCCCCAGAGATGGTGAGGACAGCGGCAGCTGGAGCCCGAGCAGGACGGGCAGGAGAGGGTCAGAGAGCCAGCGAGCCTGGACCTCCAAAGCAGAGGACTCTGAGGACGGGGTGGTCCAGAGTGCCAGGCGCTACAGAGGCCAAGAGAGGCCCCAGGCTGACAGCTGGGCTAAGCAGCTTTCAGCCAAGCGGAGAGAGCGAGCGGTGGGGGACGGAGAGCCCAGGCAAGAAGCGGCCTGGAGGCAATAGGGCCCCGGCAAGTTTTTAGGATGAGGAAAAGAAGGCCAGGGACTGAAGAGGGGGCAGAAACAATAACAAGGCAAAGAGGAGGTGAGCAGCAGAGGTGCAGGAAATGTAAGAAAAGATCCTGATACTTCAAAGTGAGCGTGCTTGTGGGTTCGAGGGAGCGCCGCAGAAGGCCAAGCTAGCCTCCCTCCTGGTCTCAGAGGACGGGGGCGGTGAGGACTCCGGCCAAGCCAGTGCTGGGCAGGGAGTGAGCAAGGGCTGGCTCTGTGCAAAGAGCCCAAGCCTGTTGGAGACCCCCACCCTTGCTTGCTTTTCGTTCCTCATCCAACTACTCAAAGTCAGATAAGAGAGCCGAAAATGGCCCCAAAGTTTTGTAAACTAATTAAAAAACAAACCCAGTTCTGAAATATTCATGGCTAGACTTTATCCTGAACCAGGTCTATGTGAATAGATGGGACAGGTCAGCAGGAGCTGCCAGGGAGCTCTTGGCGCCAATGCTGGCAGGAGGGGCTGACCCACCACTGTCCCAGGGCAGGCTGGGTCAGAGGCGCCCAGTGAGGTAGGCACCGCCACTAACCCCTCCCCAGACGGGCCAGCAAGGTCAGAACACGCCGCTCGTGCAGTAGCAACGTCCAGTGTCCCCAACCTCTTTTGCTTGATCCACAGTATTGCCCAGGCTGGACAGATGACCTAATGTTTCCTGTGGGCCTAGTTAAAGTTTTTCCCACTCACACTTACAGATGGAGGTAGCTAAGCCACAAGTGAACTTATTCCAGCTGTAGCCTGTATAGGAGGGGTAACTGCAAGCAGCACCATATAGAATCTGACAACACTCAAGACGTTTACATCAGGTTGAGCCCACGATGGACTGCCTTTACCCCTTGGCCTCTGTGAGGTCTGGTCACACTGTCCCACTCGTCCCCCTGGCAGCCAGATTTACCACTGAGATGCTTAGTGCCATCTTGATAGTGACCTGAAACAAAAATGATCAAAACAACACCATTCATATAAAGATATATTCCATAAAAGAGTTTGGCAGTCAAAGAGAGGCATCATACTTCTGAAAAACACAGGCATTCTTCTTCTCCTAGTCTACAGAGAATTGTTCAAAAAAAAAAAAAAAATGTCATCATCATCAACAAACACCCACCAGTATACACCACACTAGAATACACACTTCGGCAAATAACTGAAGGTCGCACTCAGTCCCTGAACAATCAGAAGTGGTATGAGCTACAGAGGAAGTCAGAACACAGCCCAAACACTGGACGAATGCCCAGCCATCCCTACGGGGCTCCTCAGCACATAAGACAACATCATTTCCAAGAGCAAGCCCTGGAACAGCCCCGACAGGAAGGTGGACCCGGTGAGCACAGTTACGAGGGGAGTCACCACGAAGGTCAGAAACAAAACGTCCCGGGCCTGGGGTCTGCGACTGGGCGCAGGGCCTGGCTGCAGAAGAGGCCAGCCCCAGGCATGTGGCCACCAGAAGCCCTGGCCGAAGGTTTCGGGCTGGCCATCTCAGGCTGGGGTCCCTGGCCTTGCAGTGGGGAGGGAGGGCCAGGATTCAAGTTCTGGGTGACAATTTCAGTAGCACCAAGACCAGAAGACAGCGAGGCCAAGCTGGGGAGCGGGGAGGGGGATGTGGGGGGTGTGGGCAGGACTGCATGGAGGAAGGGGGCACGTCCATGGTCGGGGAAGGAAAGAGAGGGTGTCAGGGCTGGTTCTCGAGACACTCAAGGGAACTCAAAGGGACAGCTCCAGCTGTGGACACCACATAAGGCTGCTCAGAGGAGAATGCAGAGGAAAGGAGGAGGAAATGAAGAAATGGGTGAGAACGTTCTTGCCCCTATAAATAAACTATTTACACACTTTAAGAAAAGGAGAGTGGGCTCTCGGTGGAGAGCCATGCCCACCGCCCCACCGCCGCCTGGCGCCATCAGTACTTAATGCTGTTGAGACCAGAGGCGGCTCTCGCCCCAGGAGAACGGCTGACTGACTCAGGGCAGCGGGCAAGGCACTCCCGTGGCACCAGTCCACGCACTGGCTCAGGCTTACTTCACATGGACGTGGCTGAGGATCCACACACACCACCGCGGACCCAGCTGGCACTCAGAGGTCTGCCAGGGCCCCTTCCTCCTCCCCAGCTATAAGCAGGGCCCTGGGCTGCTTGACTTGATGGAGAGAGAAGCCTTGTCCACACCTGCTGGTCCCTCTAGCCATGGCCCACCCACGGATGTGGATGACCCAAAACAGACGGTGTCCTGCAGACGCACATGGGCTCCAGGGCGTCCGAGCCAAGCTCTCCCCGCAGCCATGGGAGCCCTGTCTGTCCCTCGGAGTCACCACTCCCATGCAGACACATTGCTGTCTCTGGGCAGACCCCAGCGGGGATGCAGTCGTGAGTGTGGGCAGGTAACAAGGGGGCACCCAGTCTTCGGCACCAGCAAGCAGAAAGAGAGGTCACGTCACGCTGATGCTGAAGACAGGGCGCTGGCCTCCGTGGGTGTGGCAGCTTCTCCCCCTCTGGACATAGGTTGGTGACAATGAACGGCGTTGGCCTCCATAGTGGCTCAGCTCCACTTGCTCGCCCTGCTCCTCAGAAGTGATGGCCTGCCTTCACCGCCTCAATGTCCGAGATCAGGGTCCTTGCCAGGAAGATGCCAAATATCTGAAACCAAAGCCAGCACAGTAAGTGGCCATCGGTGCCGGTGCCCAAAGGCAGAGGGCAAGGTGAGGATGTTCCATGACACCTTGCTCCCCCATGCACCCTGCCAAGACACAGAGAGAGCAACACTTCGCAAGCAGTGACGCACGGCAGACCCGCCAGTAGACAGGCAGCCCTGGCGTTTAGTTTGCTGTGTCCCTACAGCCTAAGAGAGGCAAACGGCAACAACACAGACGCTCTGCCCTGCCTCCAACATGACTAAGCATGTCACATGCCACGGGGCGGGACACGCTTGTCCCTGGGTTAAACCAAAAATAACAGGGTCACCCCAACTGACTGGTTTTGATTCCCAAAAGGATAAATCTTGAATGTTCCCTGTAAACCTGGGTTCCACAATAAAACCAAGGCTGTTCCTAATTTGGGCTGTGCTAATGTCTGACTATAAGTCCTGACCTTGGTGAACAGGAAAATCGTGAGGGAAGATGGATGTTTTTCTACCAAGAACAGACTAATGTGAACTTGGTAACCTTTGGAAGTTTGCCTTTTTTTCCTTTAAATTCTTGTGGTTCTTATGTGACAAGCCAATTCTTTTGAAGTCTGATTCCCTTGCCCGCTTTGCAAGTAATTTTTGTCTTTCCTTTTCTAGATACTTCTCTCAGTCTTCCTTTGAAGGAGGAAGGTGTACTGGCAGCCCTGGGTCTACTTTAGTCCCCTCCTCAAGGCAAAGTCAGAGTCAAACATTTTCTAAATGGTGTGTTTTCCACCCAAGAACGGCTTTAGCTGTCTCAGAAGCTGCTCAGAGGCTGTGAGCTTCTTCTCACAAGCCCTGGGCAACACTGGAAAGACTCCTGGTTCCTCTGGTATCGGTGAATTCTTGACTTTCTCCACCTGTTCTTCCCCTACCAGACACAGGCCAGCCCACCCGCCCCAGGCCTCCCTGCCCCCTCGGCCATTGTCATCCTTCCACAGTGAAATCTGGTCCAAATGAACAAGTGCAGCCTTGAAGGGGAAAGAAGCCACAAAGGGCGGTGGGCCTCAGAGGGTCCAGTGTGGACAGGGAAGCCGCCCGAGAGCCTCAGCCCGGGGGCCCAGCACAGGGAGGGAGAGGTCCCGGGGTCAGAGCGCGTACCGGAGCCTCGAGCCTCCGTCAACCCCCAGCTGACTGACAGCATCACCGTCCACTCTTCAGCTCCTGACACCTCTCTAAATTCTACCACTACCTTCCCACCAGCAGGGAGAGACCCCAAAGCAGCCCACCCAGAGGGCACTCTTGACTCCAACCTCCAGAAAGGCCCTCTGGAGAGGGCTGCTGGCAAGACCTGCACAGGGCCACATTCCCCACTGCCCCCACCCACACACACCCCCACACCTACCGAGAGGCCTCCCTCAAGGCAGCAGACCACTGGGGAGAGAATGATCACAGCCCGCCCAGGACCCAGCCCCAACACATGACATTTATAGAAGCCACCCTGTTCCTGCTCCTGTTACTTACACACACACACACACACACACACACACACACACACACACACACACACAGTGTGCACGCGCTTGAACGTCCAATTGGATCCCTTTCTTTTTTCTGTAAGGTTCCTTTGATATCATAACCAAGCTAGACAGACATTCTATGTTAAGGGCTCAACTTCCTCCAACGAATAAAGGCCACCCGCCAATCCTGTGGGCTCCTGGAACATACCTGTAGCAGCGAGATGGCGATGAAGACGCCAGCCACGATGTAGATATTCCTCGGGAGCCAGCCCTCCAGCACCTGGATGCAGCCTTTCGTGAAGATGGACTCGTCCCACTTGTTCTTCAGCTGCAGGGAAACACCATATCGGCCTGAGCCTACGACACACACGGTGTCCCCACCCTGGTCCCCTAGAGAGCTCCAGCAGGGAGCAGGGCAAAGTACAGTGGGAATGAGGCATCTGGGAGGCAGGCGCTGAGGATGGACAGAAATCTCCAGGAGAAACTCATACACCTGTCCCTGGCTCTGCCCCTCACCGGGCAACATGCTGTCGCAGCGCCTGTCGGACCAAAGTCTCCCTGGCTATGATCTTCAGCCCTCCGGAGATTTAAAGGTCAATTTGCTCGACACACACCCTCAAAGCCCACATCTAGAGAAAAGAGGGCTTGGGGGAGGAAGACGGGCCTTTAAAGGGAGAGAAACCGAAGGGGGTCCTAGACTTCTGTGAGTCAGAGGAGCTAGCAGGAGAAGGAAGGGATAGTGGCTTCTCAGAGCGTGTCCCCAGGAGACAGAGCCAGAGGTTAACAGTCACCAGCCAGCCCACTCCCTCCACCGCCCAGCCCCGGTGCAGTCAGCAGGTGCATGGAGGCCTCATCCCGGCGCACAGCCCGCCCCTGCCACTGATGTGCAGTAATCGGCCCCGGCCCCTCACCTGTCAGCCTCCCCATGACAACACTGATGGAACATTATTCCGCTTTAGTGGTATTATGGCTGAATTGTGTCCCCCAAAATCCATATGTTGAACTCCTAACTCCCAGTAGCCCAGAATGTGACTGTGTTTGGAGACAGGCTCTTCACAGAGGTAATTAAGCTTAAATGAGGTCATAAAGGGTGGGCCCTAATCCAAAATAATTGGTGTCCTTATAAGAAGAGATTAGGGCCCGGCGTGGTGGCTCACGCCTGTAATCCTAGCACTCTGGGAGGCCGAGGCGGGCAGATTGTTTGAGCTCAGGAGTTCGAGACCAGCCTGAGCAAGAGTGAGACCCCGTCTCTACTAAAAATAAATAGAAATTAATCGGACAACTAAAAATATATAGAAAAAATTAGCTGGGCATGGTGGCACATGCCTATAGTCCCAGCTACTCAAGAGGCTGAGGCAGCAGGATTGCTTGAGTCCAGGAGTTTGAGGTTGCTGTGAGCTAGGCTGACGCCACGGCACTCCAGCCCAGGGAAAAGAGTTGAGACTCAGTCTCAAAAAAAAGAAGAGATTAGGACACAGACACACACAGTGAAAGGACAGCCGTCCACGAGCCAGGAAGAGAGGCCCAGAACAGATCCTTCCTTCCCAGCCCTAAGAAGGAACTAACCCTGCCAACACCTTGACCTTGGACTTTCAGCCTCCAAACCGTGAGAAAATAAATGTCTGTTGTTTAACCACCCAGTCTGTGGTACGTTGTTACAACAGCCCCAGCAAACCAATATAAGTGGCAAAGAAATTCACAGCTAAGGAAGCTGATGCTGACAGAGATTTTTGCCTCCGTCTATTCGGGCTACTATAACAAAATAACATAGACTGGGCAGCTTATAAACAACAGAAATTTATTTCTCACAGTTCTGGGGGCTGGGAAGTCCAAGATCAAGGTGCCAGTAGATTCAGTGTCTGGCGAGGACCTACTTTCTAGTTCGCAGACAGAACATTCTCACGTGTTCTCACGTAGTGGAAAGGGCGAAGCAGCTCTCTGCCATCTCTTTTATAAGGGCACCGATCTCATTCGTGATTAGGTCCTCACAACCTAGTCACCTCCCAAAGGCCCCATCTCCAAAACCCATTCCACTGGGAGTTAGGTTTCAGCACATGAATTTTGGGAAGACGTGAACATTCGGTCTGTAGCAGCTCACGCCTGCGAGATGGAGGTTACTGAAGGAGGACTCTGAGCTTCACAAGCTGCAGGTGGCACATCCCTCGTGTCCATGGCTAACAGGAAGGGTCTCTGTAGACCCCTCCCTTTCAGAAGAGCAGTCATTCCTATCACAAAAGGCCGTCAGAATACGGACTGGAATGGGGTGGGGTCTTGCTTGTCCTCACAGAGGAGAGCCCACTCCCTGTAGCCTGAAGGAAGCCCTCGAGGACAGAGCCGTGCCCCTGCCCCAGGCCAGTCTCCCCCCTTGTTTCCACGTGGAGGCTGGACCAAGCCCCACACTCCTGCAGCTTTCTCCTGAACCCCTCTATAGCAGATGCCTTCTGGGGGCTCCAAGCAGCCTCATAAAAATGCAGCCTTTGTTCCTGAAACTTTCATCCCATCTTTTCTTTTTTCTTAAAGATATAGGGCCTTGCTGTGTCGCTCAGGCTGGGATGCAGTGGTATGATCATAGCTCACTGTAGCCTCGAATTCCTAGGCCCAAGCAATCCTCCTGCCTCAGCCTCCCTGGTAGCTAGGACTACAGGCACATGCCCACTATGCCCGGATAATTTTTATTATTTTTATAGAGACGGGGTCTATGTTACCCAGGCTGGTCTCAAACTCTCGGGCTCAAGCGATCTTCTTGCCTCAGCCTCCAAAAATGCTAGGATTACAGGCGTGAGCCACCATGCCCAGCCCCATCCCACCTCTTTAATGCAGTAACTGGGTTTGGGAACTGTAGTTCACAGGGCTTGAAATCACCACCCACTGCTGCTCCTGGGGTCTTACCACCAGCTCAGGAAGCAGTTGGTGTAGCAACTGCATCCCTGTTCAGCTTAAGTGGCACCTTGGAGCTTAATCACCCCCAGTTTCCCCATTTCAATGTGCACTTGTGTTAAATCAGGAAGTTGGACCATAGGGAATAAAATCTAAAGAACTGTTAACCTAAAGAACTCTTAAAGTTGTACACATTATGGTTCTCACCTGAATCCTGACGTCATATCCACACTGTGTGTTCACAACTTTTTGCTGTAAGGAAAGCAGAGGAATTAAGTCACTTTTGGTCTCTCAAGAAGCTAGCAGTAAGAAGCTCTAGAAAAGTCACAACCAAACACCAGCAAACACCTGTGCAAATTCCATCATCCTTCAATCACGCTGCCAGCTAACCTTACAGGCTAGGACGGGGTCGGCGGACCTTTCCTGTGAAGGGCTAGATAATAAATATTTCAGACACAGACTCAACTCTGCTTTGGTAGCATGAGAGCAGACGCTGACGGCATGTAACAAATAAGCATGGCTGTATTTCAAGAAAACTTCATAGACACTGAGATTTCAATTTCACATAATTTTCATGTGTTACAAAATATTATCCTTCTTTTGATTTATTTTCAACCCTTTAAAAATAGCTGAAAGCATTCTTAGCTCACAAGTCACAGAAACACAGGCGGCCAGATTTGGCCCCTGGGCCACGGTTCGTCAGTCTCTCTGCTAGGAGGTAAAAGTTATACTTGCTAAATGCAACACTTACTAGAATGGAATATTTCACAGTCACACTGGAGACCTCAGACACCAGCTGAGCAATTCTAGCAAATCTGAGCCTCTCCGGGCGGGGACAGGGCGATGCCCTGCCTTCTTGAAGCCCTGTGACCCGACACCAGGCACAAACTGCACAGAGAGCTTACAAGGGGCCCAGATCTGCTCACGCTCGATTCAGGCAAAGTTCAGAGCTCCTCCACCCCAAGAATCCAGCTTCTGGAACCCAAGGACATATGTCTTGGATTATGTGTGAAAACAGGTGAAGAAAGAACAGGAAATAATTCTCCACTACTGAGACGCTGTCGCCCAGGTAGTGACATGTACTCCACAGCCCTGTGAACTTCTGAGTACCAGGCATTTTCTCCAGAGAAAGGACAGCAAAGAGGGCTGAGCAGGGCTCACTATACACATAGCATCTTGGCCAGGCACCCCAAGGAGAGCCCCTCGAGGTAGGGATAATACTGTTTTTCTCTTGCTTTGCCAGGACAGTAGAGCCAGAATGGGCCACGCAACCACAAGAGCCTAGGGGCAGAGGGTGCATGAGACAGAAGACCCCAGAGTGCTGGAGGAATCTCCGGAACCGCCGGGATTCTGGAGGGACACAGGCTCCACGCGCCCAAGTGCAGGCCAGCTCACCGCGGGATCCGGCACGCAGCAGGAGAAGGGCACCCCGCACTTCTCACGGCTGTAGCTGGCGCCGCTGCAGTTAAAGTAGACGTTGAGGTCCCAGTCTTCAGGGCCAAACGCCCCGCAGCACTGGTTCTGCAAGCACAAAAGCCACAACCATCAGGGTGACACCGAAGTAAGTGTGTTGCATCTGCCACACAGAGAAATCAAGGCCTGCCCCACTACCTCCCATGTGCACAGAGATGCTGAGCTGGCAACACAGGCAGCCTTTCAAGAAGGAAGCAGTGTTGCCAGTTGCGGTGGCATGCGCCTATAATCCCAGCTACACAGGAAGATTGCTCGAACCCAGATGTTCGAAGCCAGCCTGGGAAACATAGCAAGACCCCGTAAAAATAAATAAATAATAAACATTTTAAAAAAAGAAAAACTAGGAAACAGTGGCCAAGGCATCTCCTCTGTCTAAAACACAAGGCTGACTCAAGGGCGCCCCCTGGCCCCAGCACAGGGCACAGCATGCCCACCCTAGTCCCTGCTCAGCAAGGAGCTTGCCCTTCCTCTCCCACCTGCACAGCCCAGCCCTGAGCTGCCTTCTCCTCTCCTTTGAGACCCCTGCACCTCTGGTGTGGTCCTCAGCTGGCCCCCAGAGAACACTTCCTCATAGGCAGTGTGTCTTCCCCCCTGAGAAACTTTCGAGCTGGGCCTGGTTCCCTTTTTTGCCTTTTTACAAAAAGCAGCTGGGGAATGTCTACTCCCAAGGAAAGAGGTACGATTGGGATACATGGTAACGCAGTCAACGCTCGGCCCCCACCTGGGGCCTCTGCTCTCCCTTTCCTGTTATCTGGTGTAGCTGCAAAGAAAATCCTCGTGTGTCTAAAAAATTTGAAAGAGCCAAACACACTGAAAGCATCATCATGAAGTTCACAGCAACCTCACCCAAGAGCACATCTCATCTTTGTGTGCTTGCCCTCGCGGCTGGTGTGGTTATTGTAGCTATGGCAGTGTTCACAACAATGGCGACTGGGATTTCTGCAACCCCCTTTCTTTACTTCTAAGGTAGAATGCCGTCTCCCCACTCCCAACCCCCATTGTTCCCAGTTGCTTTAACGATTATCTAATATTTTACCCCAGAAATACCTATAATTTACTGAATGCCTTCGGAAATTGTATTTTTAAAAGGAAAAGAAATCAATGGAGAAAACTACAACGTCTTTAAGACAATGCAAGGTAGAACTGCTAGCACGCCGACACCAGCAAGCCAAAGGCTGTGTGAAAACGAAAAAAGAATTGTGGCACCGAACAGAAAAAAAAAGGGAGAGGCATCTGAAAATGGATAGGATTTGGTGACTTTCGCAGACAAATATAAATCAGTAATAACAATACAGGAAGGATCTTCGGTCACATAAATGGGTTTTGCTAGATCCCATGATACATGAAATAACGGTAAACAAGTTTAGGTTAATGATGAAAGTGGTCACAGTTATTTTTAATGCTTTCTAATTTATTTTCTTATCAGAACCAAAGTGTTCCATATGAAAAGTTCTTGAGGAAGCAGGGCTTTCTGGCAGCACAAAGATCACAAGAGGCTCCCAAAGGCTGACCTGGAGTGAGTTCTTCCCAGGGGGCCGAGGACTGCGGTCCAAGCCCCACCCCAGGTGTAGCCGCACACGAGGCGGCGTGGGCAGACGGAGTAAAGGCCACTGGCTGGGACTGCTCGGACAAACCCCTGGGGACATATTCCAGGGAGGTTACATTCCTCTCCATCTGAGGAAGCTTCCTCCAGGCAGCTCTGCCTTCTTAAACAGGAAGGGGAAAAGGTCTGGGGGAGGAAGGAGACAGGAATAGCCTCAGACAGTGAGTCATGAGCCTGGGGGAAGGAGTTCTACCCTGGGGACCCAATGCTCAAGGTCCCAGGGAGGACTGCAGCCAGCGTGGCTACTGGGCAGGGCTGGACAGATCTGGGTCCCGTTCTGGCGGAGGGGAGGGCTGAGCACCTGGCGAGGGTGGCCACAGGTGCAGCTGCACCCCTGCCACCTGGACTTGCCTGCACGATCCCAATGTGGGGAGGGTACCCCGAGAGAGCCTGGGCTGCTGGGCAGCCACAAGCAGGCAGAGCTGAACTAACCAGAGGCAGAGGGGGCCCCTTCTGTGGCCTCCGTGCTGCCTGCCGAGCTACAAGCAGAAAACTCAGAGTTGGGAAGGTTCCTGTCCTCCTGTCCTGTCCTCCACTGGCCTCTGCTCTGGAGCAACACAGACAGATTACTGGTAGGAAGGCCTGTGCTCTGGCAGGGAGCCCACTGGAGGCGCTGCTTACGGCTTTCTGAAGGGAGTCGATGAGGTTCTGCAGATCGATGTCGTCCCGGTAGGACCTGATGTTGCTCTCGAAGAACTCCCGGAACCGGTCCCTCACCCAGTCCTGAAACAGGAAGGCCAGCACGGCCACAGCAAGCTCCAGAAAGAAGATGAGCACGATGGCGCCGCAGAACTGCACCGGGACAAGGACGGGAGAGGGAGTCACCACACCATCAGCCTGGCCTAGCCAGACGCACACCCCCACCTGGTCTGGAACCACTGCCTGCCACAGAGAGCTCTGCACCTGAGAGACCCATGTTGGGGCCCTAGGAATCCCACGTTAGCGGGGTGACTCTGGGCAACTTCACCTCATTTGTAAAAAGGGGATATTCACCCCTACCCAGGTCACTGCATTGTTGGTAACAGTCAAATGAATGAAAAAGTATGAGAAAGCTCTAAGCCAATGTGTTATTTCCTATGAAGCAGCTCTCGCTGGACAAGAAGGGAACCCTATCAGGCGAATGAATGGCTGTCCTACCCCACCAGGGTGTCAGCTCCTTTAGGACAGAGACTGTGACCCAGATACTACCTGAACCATTCCCCACGCACACACAATCAACCAAGCGCCTGGAAAACTAATCTATTACCCCCACTTTAAGGACAAGGAAACAGGCTCACTCAGGTGTGTAGCTTGCCTGAGGTCACACGGCTCACGCAGAACATCTGAGTTCTTTGGCAGGTCTCATTACAACTCTGGAGGTGCCAGTGTTATCTGTACCCACTCTGCACATAAGTATGTGACTGCCAGCTGCATAAAGACCTCTCCAGAAGTGTGGCTGTCCCTAGCCACAAACAGTGGTGGGGCTCTACAGCCACAGGTCCACACCCCTCCCATCAGAGCAGACTCCCAGCCTACAGAGCCTGTGTTCTCACAGCCATTGCCGTTGGCCATACTGGACACTTAGCAGCTTTGCCACAACCAGCAAATTTGGAGGAGCCTTTCAAAGTAGAACTGAGGAAAAACACACGTTTGCATGTGCACGGGCACACAGACACACACACACACACACACGCACACGGCCCTTCAGAATGTAATCTCTGTTCATACAGAAACGAGACTCTAAACATAATATTTTTTAAGAGAAAAAAATTAGAAAAAAACCCCATGTGCTTTACTTCTTAAAGTAAGTCCACGAAAGCAAAAGCTTGGTCTAATATATTTAAGAAATAATACAGTGCAAAAAAAGATAATGTGTTTTCCCCAATAGATGCTACTTAAATTTTAACTGAATGCATTTAAAAATGATTTTGTATCTAAATATAAAACTAAACTCTTAGTAACTCGCAGGTCTGGCAGGAAATTAAGGATTCTGCACTGCACACCCAACAGATTCACAGCCCCTGGAGGAGGAAAACGATTTTTTAATGTTACTGGCAACATCTTTTGATCTTAGCCAGGAAGGGCAAAGGTGAGGAGCAAACAAACAATTCCCTTAGAACTTCTGAGGGAGGATAAAAGGCAAAGGAGGGGGGAGTACTGCTGGCCTTGGAGCAGTGGGCTTGTCCCACCAGGGACTGAAAACCAGAGGGGCCCAACTTCTCCTGGCTGAGGAGTCAGCTCATCTGGATTTTTCCTGAAATCTTACCATTCAGGGCACAGAAGGACACAAAGGGCTGCCTCCTGCTTCCACTGCTGGGGCCCGGGGGCGGGTTTTTAGGGGTTGTACCCACTCGGACCACGTAACACATAACCCCCGCCCCAGCAGAGCCCGCACCCCCAGCCCCATCCGTCCCACTGTCTCTGTGGCCACTCACAAACTTGAGCAAGCAGATGTTCTCCCGCAGGGCCCCCACACAGCCGGCGAACCCCAGCGTGAACATCACCACGCCCACCATCAGGACCAGCACCACGGGGTCGATTCCATGCAGCCGGGTCACTTTGGTGAGGTCGGACAGCACACCCTGAAAGAGGCAGAGAAAACAGGGCAGCACTGGCCTGGGAGGGGAGTCAAGGGTGCTGCCCTGGGGGACTGGGCTGCGTCTCAACTGAGGACAGGGACCTGCCTTCAGAGGCTCGGTCATCTCATTAAAAGCCAGGCCACAGTGAGGACCCTGCCCACCCTGTTAGAGGCCCGTCTGGCCAGCAGATCCCTGCCCACCTCAGCCCCCAGGGGCCTGCACGGAAGTGCTCCTGGTCTCCACCGAGGCTGTGAGTTCTTCCTGGGCAGGCGCCAGGCTTCTCCTGCAGCCTGCAGGGTGCTGTGCTAGGCCTGGGTGGCTGACTTTGTCAGTTCCCCGACTTGGCACTCAATTAATGGAGAACCCCACTATCGTGAGACAAAAACAGACTCAATATGAACACTCCTGTGGAAAACACACCCACCAAGGGTGCACTGGCACAGAATGTTGATTGATGAAGGGGGTGTTCTGTATCTGTACTGTCCGAAATGGCAGCCACTGACCAAGGCCCTCAAAATGTAGCTAGTAAGACTGAAGGACTGGATTTTGTTTTGTATTTCATTTTAATTAATTTAAATATAAACACAGGCCGGGCACGGTGGCTCACGCTTGTAATCCTAGCACTCTGGGAGGCCGAGGTGGGCGGATTGTTTGAGTTCAGGAGTTTGAGACCAGCCTGAGCAAGAGCGAGACCCCGTCTCTACTAAAAATAGAAAGAAATTAGCTGGACAACTAAAAATATACAGAAAAAATTAGCCGGGCATGGTGGCGCATGCCTGTAGTCCCAGCTACTCGGGAGGCTGAGGCAGAGGATTGCTTGAGCCCAGGAGTTTTGAGGTTGCTGTGAGCTGGGCTGACGCCACGGCACTCTAGTCCGGGCAACACAGTGAGACTCTGTCTCAAGAAAAAAAAAAAATATATACATATATATATAAATACAAATAGTCACATGTAGCCAGTGGAAACCACAATAGACAGAGTAGTTCTACAGGATTTGTAAAATGCCAAGGAGGAAGTTAAGCCCTGGGGACTGAGTCCCACAGAATGTTTACAACTCTGCTTCTTTGATTATAGTTTCTCTTTTTCATTGCTCTTGTTCTGTAAATGACCAGGAGAGAGCAGACCACCCCCTTCCAACCTATAACTGATCTCTGTTATAGGTTAACTGTCTCCTTTACTGTCCCATATCAAATGCAGGTCAGATAGCGTCTGCGACCCCCTGACAGTTACATTTTCAGTGTGGAATGTTAGATACACCTTTCCTGAAAGAAAAAGACTACCTCAACTAATCAGATCATTGTAACTGTGCATTAAGCCTCACATAGAAAGATGCTGAAATCATTAATCTTCCCTGAGCTTTGTAAACAGTCCCAACCGCTGCACTTTGGAACATTGACTTCCATTCTTTGTAATCTGTGCTTCCTTGGTTGCCATCCTCAATCTATACACTTGAATAAACTCTCTTTAAACTAGATTCTGACCTTTTTGATTATTTTAAGGTTGACAGATGCAAAGGAGTAGCCAGTCCCACACTCAGGGTTTTGCCCAGTCAGGCTGCTGCAGTCCTAGAGGAGGCCACACGGTGGCGCTGTGAGCCATGGATTGCACCTGCTTCTGGGTCACTGGGGCAAAGGGACATTGCACTCCAGCTCTTGCCCTTTAAGAGTTCAGAGGCCACCTGAAGCTACCCAGCCTTGAAGGTGGGCCATATCCAGTTCCTAAGGCCATGGTGGGAAAGCCTACAGAGGTTCCACCAAAAGAAGAGGGCCCTGGGCTCTAGAGAGGCGCTCTCCAACGCCCCAAGGGTTGCAGAGCTCTGCGCCCCACCCCCTCGCCCCCTCACCCCTCCTCCCCCATGGAAAAACTGTCTTTCATGAAACTTGGGGGAGGGGGGGTTGAGCCAGCAAAGCTTCATCCGTATCTATAGCTCATCACTTGCATCACCACCTGAGCTCTGCATCTGTCCCGCCCCGCCCTGCCCCACCCTACCCCCATCCGTGGAAAATGGTCTTCCATGAAACCAGTCCCTGGTGCCAAAAAGGCTGGGGCCTGATGCTTTAGAGAAAGTTTTGGTTCCCACTGTTTCCACCCAGCATACTCCACTTTGCTCCTTCCCCTCCTTCCCCACCCCTCCTCCTCCTCCCTCCCTGGCCCTACTGTAGTGAGGGCCCTTTTCAACCCTCAGGGCCTCCACAGGGCAACGGGGGGCAGGTAGCTCCACCCTGCCCGCACCCAGTCTAGCCTCCTCCCTAGAGTTGCAACTGCCCCTAGTCCTTCCAGGTCATAAAAGCCTAGTCGCCCCTCCTCATAGCCCCCTCCACAGGTGCTTAAGGACCTGCCCCTGCCCCACTAGGCACCCAGGAGGCACACAGCCTTCCTTCCTGCTCTCAGGGGTTCTTTCTGTGGGCCAAGACAAGAGCTTCAGGGATAAACTGCAACTGCGTCCAGGGAACTGCTCACCTGCTCCCAGAGGCACAGAGGGGGGATCAGGAAGTTAGCCCCAAGCCTGCGCTGGGCACAGCTGCAGACAAGCCTGAGGCAGCTGGGAACAGAGGAGAAGGCTCTCCACAGCCACGGGGCTCAAACCCAACGGCCCTACAACAGGGGAGCAGGTTCTGTGAAGAGTAAGGACTATAAACCTTCACACTGCACAAGAAATGCTCGTTGTCAGGGAACAGATTGGAGGAGAGGAACATTTTAAGCTGAATGAATCTGGTTTTGGCTGCCTGATGCTCAGAGTGCTAGTGACAGTAACACCTACCTTTTCGCTCCATGCCCACAGCCCGACTCCAAGGAAGACAACTCCAGCCAACTAAGCAGGGGCAGGGAAAAGAGAGAGAGAAAATTAGGTCAGAAACCAGCACTGCGAACATGCTTCACAGAGCAAAGTCCGCACTGCTAGCCGGGGGATGCTCCTGGCTCATGTCCAAGGTGGCCCCTTGGCTCCTACAGGGCTTCCCACCCCAGAACAGAGGGACACTGAGGCTCTGCAGAGAACCTGCTCCTGACTTCCCCAACGTCTGGACCAACTCCTTCAACCCCAGATGGCCCCTCCAGAGTCACAGACATCGGGCTGTGCCCCGGCCCGTCACCATTATGCAACCCCCAACTCATTTCAGTGCACAATCTGGTGTGTAGGAAGGCTTCACCCCTTGTGAGGGCTGCCCCAGGTGCCTTCAGAGCCTCCCAGCGCAGGGTGAGGCTCTGCACAGGACCAGGCACCACCCTGGGGTGAGGGGATGGGGGAGCAGAGTCCAGCACCAACTCTGCCACCCGCCCCAGGCCTCCTGCCCTGGAGACAGACTCCGAGCGCAGGCAAGCAGCTACCCAGGCCATTCACTGGCAAGGGCTGACCCTCTTCCCCATAGTACCTATACGCAGCACGGGGCCCCCGTGTGCTCCGGAAACGCTGGGTTATTAGCTATTGAGTTAATACAGGGCTGCATTTCTGCACCGCAGAAGAGAAGCAGAAGCACCCCCAACCCCGACCTCCCACCTCCAGGAACCCACTGGGGCCAGGCTGTCCCACATGCGCCACATCAGAAAGGGGCCCACCCAAATACACACACAGGTTCCTAGACCGGGGAAGATTTTCCCTACAAAACAAAACACATCATGATCTCTGCAAACAAAGCGGCCTCCTATTTTTCTGTTTAGCTGCTTTACACCACGCTGGCATTTCGCTGTCATTTACCAGCATCTCCCCAGAAGTAACAGGGCTAGGCTTCTCTGTGGCTCTCAATCTTCCAGTGTATTCTCCAGCCTTAAGCCATTTCTGCCCATTTTTTTCCAATACTAGCCCTAGGGGGCTGAAGTTGGAAGAACGGGCCCCTTATACAGAAAGCCCCGGGAGGTCTCAACTTCTTTGGGAGCACGTCACGTTCAGAAAACGCACACGTGCCCAATATTTTGTACGGAATCTCAGAGGGCTCGCAGCCTTCCGTTGCTGGTTCCCGCAGTGGTCTGTGAAGCCTAAGTGAAAAAGCTCTGCCAGGACTGATCCCTACAGTTTATAAAACAGAACAAAGCAGGGCCAAGACCAAAATGCCAGGCAGCAGGGAGAAGGGCGGGTCCCAGGTCTAAGTTCAGTTTTCATTCACTCCTCGCTCATTCGTTCAACTGATATTCGCAGGGTAGGCGCCGGATACAGCACTGAGCCCACAGCAAAGCACAGCGCACGCTCCAGCGGGCTCATCCTTGAGGATGTCCCGCTCCTCAGTCCTCCCTCTGAATTACTGGCTGGTGTTCTTTCTTGATGGAGGGTACAGCCACTTCCTTTCCCTCCCAGGTGTCCCATGCTGGCACAGGGAGCGAGCCCGAAGGCAGTGGCTACTGCCCACCGTGTCCTGTCAGCCCCATCCCTACCACTCCTCAAGGCCCCAGTGACTTGCTTCCCTCGTGCCAAAGCTGGAGACCGAATCTTTTTCTCTTCTTATCTGACCTCATCCAACACAGCTGCTCACGCCCTCCTCCCCCAACCACTCACGGACACACTCCCGCCTCCTCCTCCAGACCCCTCTAAAGAAAGGCCAGTGGCGCTCACCCTGCAGTCCTTGCCCCTTCATCCTCCCCTGAATCCTCTAGGGGACCTCATAATCACAGGCTTTAAATACCATCTAACATGCTGGCTCTCAGATCCAATCTCCAGCCCTGGCCAATCCCTCAAGCCAAACACCGTAATGTCTCCTTCACTTGTCCACCTCACACAGCTACAAGTATTTCCATCTTAACGTGCGGGCAACGGAGCCTTGGTCTCCCAGCCCCCGACCCAGCTCCCCACCACCCGGCCCCATGTGCACCCACTTGTGTGTGTGTGAGAGAGAAAACCCGGTCCCAAGCTTGATGCCTCTTTGCCTTTTGCCCACACGCAACCTGCCAGAACCTTTTACGGGTTCTACCTTCACAATCCACAGTGCACGTGGCCAGCGTTCCCGACCCTCTGCTCCCACCTGTCCACACTCCGCCTGCTCTGGCCCGGATCCTTGAAAACCACAGATCAGAGGACTCCCCTCTTCGAACCCCTCAAGTGACTTCCCTTCGCACCGAGAATAAAATTCGCACTGTCTGCGGCCCACCAGCGTCCGCCCGCATCTCCCATGTCCTCCTGCCCACCCCCTGCCCAGCCCAGCTCCCCAGGCTACTGGCGTTCTTACTATTCCTCAGAGCCTTGACACTGCTTCCCAGCCTAGAATGTTCTTCCCCCATATAGGTTCCTGGCTTCCTCCCTCACCTCAGTCGGCTCTCTTCAAATTTCACCTCCTCAGAGATGCCTCCCCTCGCCATCCTGGGTGGGACTGCTCCCTGCCCCCCACCCCTGACCGCCTCCTGCTGATTTTCTTCATGACCGCACAGGCTGTCTGTCTACTGCGTCTCCCCGAGCAAGCCCTCTGAGGGCAGAGACGTCATCTGTTTCGTTCACTCGTACCCCAGCAACTTGGAGAAGGACGTGGCACGCGGCAGGGGCAGAGCGGGCACAAGCGAGTGACCCACCAGGGACCAAGACCAGGGCTTGCCTGGGTCCCTGCAGCTCTCCTCCCAGCACAGTCCAAAGGCCTTCAGGGCAGAGGAGGCCCAAGCCAGCCCTAACTGGGACCAGAGCAGAATGGGGCCTGTAGTTAGCCAGCCTATGCCCATCCCGTGTTCCCAGACATCCCAGCCCCTGCCTGGCCATTTCCACAGCAGTCCACCCACCCCTGGAGCCATGTGGGACATGTGAGAAAAGCCTGCCTTAAAAACACGCAGCCAGACCACCGCACGGAGCTCTCTTCTCTCCCCCCCACCCCCCGCAACTCGCAGTCCGCCCTCTCTCACCCCATCTTCTATCTTTTCCCACGTTAAAACCAGCCTCGGCTCCACCTTTATTTATAGGGCTCAGTGAATCCACCCTGAGGTGCTGTTGTCATTTTTCCCCTAGGTGACTAAACAGATACAATGGCAAGAGGTGACTGGTTTCACAAAAGGAAATTTGCTTGGCCAAAAACTTCAGAGCACAAGTTCGGAAAAAAGATCATCTACTCCTCACGAGAGAAGTCCATGTTCACCTGCCTCAGGAGCACAGTGCCCGTGCAAAGGTAGGTGTGCCTGTCTGTGTGTCTCTAACGATCACCCCCTACCCCAAACGAAAGGCCCCTGGTGCTGCTCTGCTCATGGCTCACAGACACACCGACCTATGCCCTCTCTTGCCACCTGCAGCTGTTTCTTCCCAAGGCCCCCTAGGACCCCCCTGGCTGAATGGCGGTTAGCCTGAGAAGCCAGCTCCTTGTCACTGCAGTGCAATTCTCCTCCTCTCAGCTCTAAGAATGAGGGCCTGTGTTGTTTTCCTTTCTGTTCCAAAGGAAGAACTAAAGTTAACTCACACCGGAAAGACAGGAACTTGGGGGTCACATGTCAGATCATGGGTTCAATGAACACTGGCCTAGGGCAGGAACTCTGGGGACCAACAATGGTTTTAGACACAAAGAGACTGAGGGAGGACCAGACAGGGGAAGTGACCTGCCTGGCTGCCCATGTAACAGCCCCACCAATGAGCCAGGGTGCTAATGGAGCCCGTCATGGAACTTTGGAGCGGATGGTCTGTGGGGCCCAGCCAGGCCAGGCCATCCTCCCTGTTGCCAACCATCTGGGAGTGAGGGTTCAGCAGCTGGGTGCCCTCCAGCCTCAGTGACTTTCTTTGTCTCTCTTCTATGACCTAATTGAATCCCGTACTGAAAAACGGGGCCCAACTCCGGGCAAGCCCAAGGGGAGGCCAGCCCTCTTTCTGCTTGGACCACCAGGCACGTACCCTGCTGTGGCCCTCGTGGCGAGTAGCCCTACCCTTTCCTGAGTGTGCACGCTGTGGTTCACACTTACTGCACCTAAAGAGACCCTTCCACATCCCATAACGCTGGTCCCGTTATCCTCATTTTTTCAGATGGGAAAGCCCTGGCGCAGAGCAGTCTGGTCATCTTGCCCAAGGTCACACAGCTAGCTGGTGGCACATTTAAGAACCGAACTTGGTGTCTTAGACCCTGACACACACTATCTCACCACCCACAGGGCAGTCGCCCCAGCCACCCTGTCCATATGGGGACACCCACACAGGACCATCCACACAGGGGTCCTGGGTGCAGGAGGTCCACAGAGGGGCTTCTGGGCTGTGCAACTCTAAAGCCAATGATCCAGTGTCAGGTGGTAAAGCCACTCTGTGTCCCAACCAGGGTGGGTGGACAAGGGAGCAGGAATCATTGCAAAGATTCAATATTGACCTTTCCACCTTAGACAAATGCCCCTATGAAAGAAGGCAAGAGGTTGTCTTGGGGTACTCTGGGCTAGGCTGGCCACAGTCTTAGAAGCCACAAAAGACCCACTCACATGAGCAAGCCTGTGGCATGTTACCCAAGCACCATCAAGTCAGAGAGGACATGCAGACACCTGGCCCGGCCCTGCTAGACTGGAGGAGAGAGTTCCAACTCCAGGCAGGTCACAAGTGCCTCTCACCTGTATTGCAATAGCCTTGGCCCCTTGCAAGATTTCATTTAAGCATTTGTAAAAGCACTTGGGCAACTCTTGCAGGCCTTTCCTCAGCAAGCTCAAGGCGAACCACCAGGAGCAAGGCAACACTCTCAGGCTCTGCCCTGCTGGCCTCTGGCTCTTGCACAATCCCCTTGCTGACTCAGGCTCGCAGTACCCCTTGCCCTGGGCTTCCTATGTGAGCCTCAGAGACGACCAGAAGGAAACCCAAGAGTAAGCCACTGAGGCAAGAGGCTGTCTAGAGCAGTGCTGAACACACAGCACAGGTTAGCCGGTCCTGGATTCAATCTTCACTCTGCAACTTTCTAGTGACAGGACCTTCTCTGAGCCTATGTTCTCCTCTACAAAACAGAGGGAACCCTTCCTAGGTCACGGGAAGGTTTTAAGGACTGAAGGAAGAGCCCATGTGACCTGGTTACCCCGGGGCACAGGGCCAAGTCCCAAGGGCACCCTGCCCTCCTGCGGTGCAGGCAGAGCAGAGGCTGTCAAGGAGACACCACAAGCGCCTGCTGTACTGAAGACACTCTGTGCCTCCTTCTCCTGACGCTGGTGCTCTGCTCTGTGCCCCCAGTAACTCCCAGGACTGTCTCTGTCCTATGCCAAGGTTCTCCTTTCCAGGTACCTGTTTCACTGGGCTTCTGGAGACAACAGGAATGAGGCCTTCTGGAAGGCTCCCCAGGTGAGGTAGGAAAGAATGATGGAAAGAAAACTGCAGGGAGCAGAGGAAACTAGGACCAAGTCTCAGCTCTGTTCCTGACTCCCCCAGTGGCCTCCAGCGCGCCCCGCCTCTTGGGCTTTAGTTGGCAGAGCTGCAACATAAGCAGCTGAAGACCAATGAACTCCAAGGGCCCAGGCACCTCCTGCTGGCTGAGCTTTGCCTTCTTCTGTGAGTCCTGGGCGCTGGCACTCTCCAGAATAGGAAATCTCACATCCAGGCCTGGGGGCGCTCACTCAGAAAGCACCAGAGATACTCGTGGCAACTGGAAATGCCAGTGATTCAGCTGAACTTGAGGCCAGAAAGGACCCCCAAGGGCACAGACCCTAGCTAGACCCAGCCTGACCCCAAGAGCCCAGTGGGCTGGGGAAAGAGTTGTGGGGTGTTGGTCAGGCTTAGGTTGCCCCTCAAGACTGGGACCACTGTGAGCCCTAAAAAGAGCAGGAACGCCCCTTTCAAAACAGTCCCACATTAAAAAAGTCTGAGCCAAGCCACTTCTCAGCGGGTGTTTGGCAGGTCTGGGAGCCAGAAGGGATGCTGGAGCCCAACTTCCTCATGACAGAGGGAAGCAGGGCCCTGGGCAGGAGATGCCTTGTGTGGGGTCACACAGCTATCACACCCCAGCTTTTCCTCCTGCCGGAAGGGTGGTGCTGAAAAAAAGCAGCAGAGCCAGCAAACCCGTGTGAGGGCCCCAGAGGGGGGGCAAGGACTACACAGAGGGCTCCAAGGGCTGCTCCCACAGCTGCCTCTGTCACCTGATAACAGGGCGCCTACCCCCACCAAGCTCTGCTCCACCCAAGACTCTGACTGTGTCAAGGCCTTGGAAAGGGAGGAAGGTGGAGGGGGCAGAGTCATCCAAGGGAGGTGACAGGGAAAGCCCTCACCCCAGCCTCACCCGACCCTAGTCTCAACCACTACTGGCACAGTTCACAGTGATTAACAGTGGGTAGAAAACCAAGATAACTAAGCCAGCAGTCAGCATTTCTGTAAAGGGCCAAATAGTAAATATTCAGCTGTGTGTGCTGTATGACCTCCGATGCAATTACTCAACTGTGCTGTTATAATGGGAAAGCAGCCATAGATAACACATAAATGAATGGGTGTGGCTGTTTTCCAAAAAAATTGTATGTACAAAAACAGGC